CTTTTCTTCCACTGAAGAAATGACAGATACATGGATCTGACAGTAATCAAAGAAAAAGAAGAAAAAGAATATTATATGGTATGGGATTTATTTTATCAATAGTTAGAAAATAAAAGAAATTAATATAGATTAGATGAATATATAAAAATATATAAAATATATATAAAATATATAAAAATATATAAAGATAAGATTGTTAAAAATAATAGATATATTAGATAACAGTTATAAGAAAATGTGATTATTATTATATTGATAAGAAAAGTATTAATTATAATTGTAATCACAAGATATATGAACCCAGTTGGCATGGTTAAAGTGAAATGGAATTATTGTAAAATAGTTCCTACACAATGCTAGATTGACAAACAAGGCAGATCAAAATGTGGTTTATTGGCTAATGGCCTATTGTATTGTACATTTTCAGGCAATGTGTTTGGTTTGTCATCTATTCTTTTGAATGAACTTAATTTGCTTAAATTCTGAAAACTGCTTAATTAACATGTATGCAGATATAGGTTAGGCATACCATCCAGACATGATACATGTAAAAGGAAATCACATTATTTTCCTCCTCTTGCCTTTCAGAATGAATACACAGGAGTCAGGATGTTTGAATTACCAATATCTGTACTTTGGAATTGTATTATATCTCTCATTCAAAGTATGGGAAAGGTACTTAGTTTAAAGAGGCAGGTCGTCATCCTTGAATGAGTTTTACTGTGATGTCCATTCCAGAAATCTAAAAAAAATATCAACAGAGAAAGAAATTTGGCAGTAGGGTGGCATATTGAGTCCAAAGTTGCCAGTGTTTGCTGAAAGATGAAGTTTCACTCCCCCCAAAGAAATCTGATTTATGAAAAAGGAGGAAGGTATATGGAAGAGATCAAGCAATTCCATATGTTCTCAACTGTGTCATGTTGATAATGATGAAAAGCCTGGATTGGCGTCACCATGAATTCAGATAAACCTTGAATCAGACAGCAAATTGGAATGAGAATCAACTTCTATTACTGACATCTATCAAAGGAAAGGGAGCACCAACCTTCAAATTAATATCAGGATTCCCAATATTTGGAACTTGGTATGGTAAAGAAGGACATCCATTAGGGAATCATCTTGTAATATAGAAAATTCCCTTTGGATAGTTCCTACAAAATGTAATCAGCAACTAATATTACATTATTTTTATAACTGCATGAGTTATAAACTGCATGAGTCAAGTGACAAGGCCATGCAGAACTTCCTCAGAGCTGGCGCTTTTACTTTTTCAAGAGATTAAAATTTTTCCTTTTCCAACATCAGTCCTCAATAACCCCAAGTGACACTTCCTCAGTAGCAAATAGGTGATGTTAAATTGACAGTGTTAATAAATAAGGAAAGAATATTGTATTATAATACAGGAATGTATTATTCTGTTGCAAATATTTTGGGATCTGGGCATGGTCGCATCTCTAGAAATATAAAGGCCCAATAATATTCTTCAGAATTGTAGAATACTGTAGGCGAGTCAAGTGGATGAGAAATAAACACTTTAAGGATCCACAGATAATTTTTTTGCGATAGGAAAGGTTTATTATGTTGCTTTCAATAGTGATGAACAATAGCAACTCTGCTTTAACAATTCTCACTTTGCACAATTTTTTTTCTTTGTTAAATCTGTTTTCACTCAAAGTGTGGTAATTCAGAATGATCATAACAATGCATGACCATATAAGTCTTCATTTATATATAATATTTATAATTTTAAATTTCAAGGCCAGAACATTTTTCTCTACTCAAGGCTCTAAGACACTGGTTTATTTTTTTCAACATAGTAGCTTGTATACAATCCATAGTTAGTACAATATTCAGTATCTAAGGAAAAGGCTCTAAAACTTATTACATTTTTTGTCAAGTTTTTCATTTTATATTACTTATACAGATCAATGTGTGAACAGTGTGACCCCTGGTGCCATACATTTTGGTACAAATAAAAATAATATTATTACTCATGATTAATATTCAGCTTATATATTTCTAATAATAATAATACACATTTATAGTAGATTATAACCTTTCATTATTTCATATTGTTTGAACGTACCTGATACTACTGCTGTTCAATTTCTAAACCTCCCTCTTGTTATTACATTTATCTTATTATTTAAAAATGTGTATAATGTTATTCCCCTTTTCTCTTATTTCTGTCTCTATTCCAACTTTTATTCATGTCACCATTATATTAAAAGATGTTTCCTTTCTGCTTTTCATCTCACCTGCTTTAATACTTTAATTCATAATTATTTCATTATTCAGTGTTGCCATATTCAATTCTTACCAAACACAATATTATTTAAACATACATGATTCTATTCATATTCTATACATTCATCCAGTCTATATGATTCTGCTATTATTACACCTACTTATATTAAAATATATTATTTCATTATTTCATTATGCTCACTATTTGACTGTATTATTGCACTACTAATCATAATATTATTTAAGCATATTTAATAGTACCATTGTTCAATCATTAATTTTCCCATTTTAAATACTTAATTCTTATTCATATGTCCCATATTCCACTCTTCACATCTAACTGTATAAAAATATTGTCCTTCATTATTTTATCATTATTATTTAGTTGTTCAATATTTCAATATATTATTCTAATACCTATCACAATACATACAAAATAATTCTATTCATATTCTTTGTTTTCATCCAGTCTATATAATTCTAATATTTAAAAACATGTTTATGTTAAAAGAAAAATCTTTTTTTTCCTCTATCCATCATCTCTTGTTTGCATCAACATTTTAGGTTTTATTCTTTTTTTTATTTGCTTCCCATATTCTTCTCTTGGATCTTTGTCTTTACCTACATCCTGACTAAATATTTCTCCCATCCCTACCCTCCTCCACTGTCTAACATAGAACTTTGAACATAGAATAACAGAGTTGGAGGTCTAGTCCAAAACCCTGCTCGAGCAGGAGAGTCTATTCCAAATATTAGCATCTACCTGGGATTGAACTCACAGCCTCCTGATTGTGAGATGAGAGCTTCACCTCTAGGCCACCACACCTAGCTAACTTTGTGACTACCTGCTCTAACCCCTATCTCCATTCCCAAAGCATCTTCCTGTTTCTCCAATTCTCTTTTTAGATCTTTTGAAGTGTTTTCTCCCTGATTAGATTCATCAATGATTGTTAATGTTATTAATATCTCCTCCTTGTTATCTTCTTTTGCTAATTTCCTGGTTCTGCTTTTCCCTCCATTTCTTCTACTGGCTCTTCTTTTCCTGAGCATCTTGGTTTTTACTCATTATTCCTTGTATAATATTTTCCAGTTTTTGGTCTATCCCATCTATTAATTCCCTAGTCACCTTATGTTCTTTTTGTATAATATCCTTTACACTTTGAAACATCAACTCCATTGAATTTAAAGTTCCATTCATTTCCTCCTTGCATTGCATCTTATCTTGTTTTAATAAATCCCACTTTTGGCCAAGAGCCCAAGAACTCTTTATTCAAAGCTGAGGTTACTCTTCAGAATGCACACTAGTCACAGTTCTTTATGTCCCACAGATAATCAGACAGTTCCATTTAAATAGTTCAGGGAGTTATACAATCTTCCTTAAGTCACCTTAAGTTCAATCATGTAACATAACATCCAAGGGTCATTTTAATTGAATAACTTCCTTGTTCTCATATTTAAATCTCCAGTGGCCTTAGGGTAGGTAAATGTAACCCAGTAAGTATTTTCACAGTTTTTCAAATAAATATGCCCAGTCTTGTATATTTTCCTCTCATCAGCAGATGTTGCTCTCTGTGTAACAGTATTGTTGCTGGTATATCTGATGTTAATTATTTTAAATTGTAATTCAAGTATAAAAGCAGTGTTAATTTTTAAAATCCATAATTCCAGCATTTTAAAATGCCTTCTCAGTACCATGTCTTCCAACTTTGAGAGTCGAATTTCCTGTATTTTTGAAGAAGAAAGAATGTTTCTCTCTCTCTCTCTCTAATTCTTTTCCTTCCAGCTTGGTAATTTTCTCAAAGTGCTTACTTGCCGCTTTGACAAATAATTCTGAGTAAATAGTTCCCTGAACTTTCTCTTGGGCATGCATTTTAATAAAAAAGAATCCTCACACCCAGTTCTACGCTGTTCACCAAAATCCACTCCAGCTCAAATCTTAGATGGTCTTCAGCGGTCCTGGCTTCATACCAGCCATCTTTGGGCTGCCTCTTTTCCTCATTATGGCTGAGAGGGAAAGAAAGCCCTAGATCAGTCAGGAGAGCTGCAGCTTTCTGTGACCTCACAGGACATCCATCTTTGCTTCACCATTCCTACAGGGAGGCTTTGGCTTCTTTCAGAACCCATCAATGAGGAGAATTCGGCATGGGGATGCGGATATCCAATCCTTGTGTCCAATCTCACCATGACATCAGCCGGAAGTCCACTCAGTACTTTTTTTTTTTTTTTATAACTGTTAAAATGAGTAAACAAAATATATTTTAGATAAAAAGAATATATATTAAAAGGTATGGAAAAGCCAATATTTTTCTAAAAAATCCTGTTTAGTACAGTAATTCAGTTAGTATATTCAGAAAAACATTTCAAATACTTCTCCCTTTTGTATGAGTTTCAAAACTAATTTCCAGAGGCAAATTAAATATTACCCATACCTAGGCAGTTGATAAAAAACAAATATCAGGATTTTTCAGTCACACAAGTTTAGATGATCATTTGAGGTTTGCTTATTCAACTCAAAGACCTATCTACTCAGAATCTCACCCAGATGTCTTCAAAAAGAAATAGGCAGAAATATGAGGAAGAAAGCCTTCTTCCACTATGATTCCATCACATGTGGCATATAAGATTTGAAGTCTGCAAGTCAGAAACTAGTTCAGAAGACTAATTATTGAATAGATTGTGAACCTGGAAAGGGGCAGAAGCTGTATATTTGAAACTGTATATAAACCCCAGCCCTCCTGGAGGAAATGTCTTCTGCCCATGAGCAGAATTCCCTTTTGCAAAAGCTTTATAATAAAGCTCTTATATATTGTTCACGTGTCTCCAGTTGTCTGAATACCTGAATGGTTGATTTTTATCACAATTGATATTAAGTTTTAATGGTTTTCTTTGCAAGTAATAAAACAAACAACAGGTAATCATCAACAGGGCATGAAAGAGATTAGAAATAGACATAATTGCATAGTTGCATAGTTGCATTGCATTCTTTATTTCAATTTTTGTCTGTGTTGTTAGATTGTGGACAATTCCAGAAAAGTAGCAGCATTTTGTCTCTAGAGTTATGTTTTGTTCCAGAACCGCCTAGGGTACATACCGGTAAACATTAAGGTAAAAATGAAAATTCAAACTGGGCAAATCAGATCCTTTAAATACATGAAATTGTATTCCATTCTTTTGGCTTTTGAAATGCTCAAATTAGGCCAGCCACAGAAAATATGCTAAAACTCCTAGATGTTTTGCAAGAATTGGCAGCTACATTAAAGTTGGCGGCCTTAAAGTTGAAGGTGTACAGAGTCAAATACTCTGAAAGTACTTTATCATTTTGAGATTTTTACTTATAGGGACTGTAGGCCCCTGCAAATTGCCTAAAGTCATTAGTGATAGTATCTAGGTACTTTATCTTCTATTGGTCTTTTTCTCTTTTATTACCTTCAGTTTTTCCAAACATCCTTTCCAGTCTTGATTGCCTTCTCATTATATGTCCAAAGTATTTAAGTTTAAGCTTATTTCTTACTACTTCCAGTAAGCACTCTGGATTGTCTTTAATTTATTATTTAGTTAAATATTAATGCCCCTGTAGAAAGTTAGCAACTGCCCCTCTCTGGGAAGAATGAAATATTCTCAGAGATTTTAAAAAGGCAGAATATTATATTTCCCTGGATGAGAAAATGAGAAGCATGTTTTTAAAGACAAAGCAATTTCCTGCAGCTCCCTGCCCCACCCTTCAGCTCCAGGGTGATGGGATTAAGAAACGGCCCTCAGGACATGATAGGATTAGCTCTCTATCTATCTCACCACATGGCATCTGAGAAGATTACATCACCCAGCAAGATTCAACCAAGCTTGGGACTCAAGACAGCCTACCCTGCAAAGTTACCCTTGCATGGCCCCATGGGAGTCTGACCACCAATCAGGATACATTTCTTGCCACAGGAACAGGGAGCAAGTTCAAAGCCCAACAGAGGTTATAAATCTTCCTCTCTCATCCATGTGCTTTTTTTGCCCAGGACCTCAAATCATGTGGTCCTGTCCACCATTAAACCATCCTTCCAAGCAGTCTCCATGTTTCCAGTGTCTTTCTTCCCATTTGGAAGTGAACCCAACAATTTAGCACACAGCAGATGGGACTCCAAGCTAACCTGACCAATGGACCTGGCCCAGGTAAGCAGACCCTTGCCAGCAGCAGACCCATTAAGTCTGTGGGTGAGTTGCCTGGACCTTGGCCAATTGGAAAAACAAGGTTTTAAAGGGGTTTTGAGTGTTGAGCTCAAAGGCTGCTTGGAAAGAAGGTGAGTACCCCTAAATTTTAATTTATAGCCCAGCAAAGCATGGGAAATGTGTGTATGCCTCTGTGTGTGTGTGTGTGTGTGTGTGTGTGTTTGTATGAGAGAGAGAGTGGATCTTTCTCTCAATCATAGCTGGATCTTGTTTCCTCTGTGTGAATAATGCATTCCTAACATAGAGTCTTTGGAAATATCTATGCATTTTGTTTTTTCCATACCATAAAAAGCATGCCAACCTAGTTCAAGATCATGTCCCTCCAAGGTCAGTAATCTCTTGTTTCTCAATCCAATCCATTCTTTCACCCATGTGAGTGTTGAAGCCTGATAATACAATTCCCAATTTGGTAGCTCAAAACCACCTCTATTTTTTGAATCTTGCAACATTTTCAAACTTATCCTTACTTTTTCCCCTTGTCAAATATATTTTAATATTGTTTTATTTAATTCTTCAAAATATTTTTTCTCCAGTTTTATTGGTATTGTTTGGAATAAATATATTAATCTTGGCAGAATATTCATTTTTATGGTGGCTACTCTTCCCATCAATGATAGTTGTAGATTTTCCACTTCTCCAAATCCATTTTAATTTGTTGTGCCAATTTATAATAATTATCTTCTTTAATTGTTACACATCTTGCCATTAGTTGGATTTCTTCCAACACCCCATTAATTCCAATACATCTAGGAAATTGTCGGCATATAAGAAATTATTAGCTGATAACAACAAGTTAGCCAATGGGAATTGTTTGGTGACTAAGAAACAGCATCTGTTGTGAGCCATGCCAGATGGCTTGGACACTGGGCATGGCTTAGGGTATTTGGTCTCTATAAACTATAGAGTTTCTGTGACACTGGTGGTTCTGCTGGTTCTGATTGCTTCTGCTCCTTTTTTTCTAAATAAAATTTTATTTGGGTTTTCACACGTACAAAATACAAATAAAACATCTTTTTTGAAAATAGCATGGTCCCGGATTGAACTTCTTTATACAGACACAAAACTCAGTTTCATGCTCCTTTTTGTGTTCTATTCCATATCTTATACTATTCTACATTTTCTATATAGTTTTTCCCCTCTTTTAATTTTCTCAATTTTATTTTGATTATCTCATCTCAATTCAAATCATTATATTTATACTTCTGTCTGTTCTGTTTCAATTTCATATTATCTTTTCTCATTAAACAAATTTTCTCCTGTAGTTACTAATTGGAGTATGACACCTTTATATCTTTTAATTACATCCATTCAACTCTTATTTAAACTTCAATATATACCTTAAGGTTATGACCTTCAATACAATACATAATACATAACTTCCAATCGAATTCTGCTTGGTACATTCTTATAATACACACTATATTCTTTAAAAAAAAGATTATAAATATATGTAATTATAAACCCTCATTCCAATCCAATTCAGTTCTATTTTTAATAATCATTAAAATCTTAACATCTTTAACACTTCTTTTCAATTAAATATCATACTTCCTTAAAGACACATAAAATCTCCATAATTAATTTTTTCCCTTATTTCTCTTCACATATGTTTTGTAAATCATTAGATATTCATTTTGTTACATTTATTTATTGACAAGCATTCCACTGAATTATGATAGCTATTTTATCAAACATTTTAATCATACATTGTTTCATATTTTCTAAAATTATTTCTGTTTCTAATATAACAATCTATCTTATGTACCTTTGCAGAATCCCTTTTTCCATTAAATTTTCACCCATTATCTCTAAATAGGCCCTGTTTCTCTATATTTTGTTTCTGTCCTTTATAACTTCTTTTCGTTTCTTTCTTCCCTCTCTTCTTCTCCCTCCCCTTTTTACCCCCTTGTCTCTCTATTTCTAATTCTCTTTTCTGCATTTCCCTCTTCTGTTGCTTTCTGATTTTATACTTATTTTTCACTCTATTTTTTTGGGGGGGGGGAGTTGTTTTTCCCAATCTTAAACTTTCCATTCTCTTTTCCCCATTTCCTTTTCCCCCCACCTAAGATTACTTGTTCATTAAAGATGGTGTTTTCTTTGTCGCAATCTTCTTGTTCTGCAGGCATTTCTTGTTGTTTCTCATAATTCCAAATCTCCATTTCTAAAAACTGAAATACGATGCCAAAAGAACCTCTCCCTTCTTGTGCATCTTCTTTCTGTTTTTTAAGTTCCATTTTCAGTTCTTCTAAAAGTGGTGCCATTTTAAACAGTTTTAAACAACCATCCGATTGATTTTAGTCATTCAAATATAATAACCAAAAATCCAGAAATCATCAAGTAATCCAAATAGTCCCAAGTTATTTCTTCTTATTTCTTTTTCCACTTTCTCTTCCTGGGGTTTTTGTTGCGATATTTCAGTTAAAATGTATCTTTTGGAAGTCTTGCTGAGATTTTGCTGTAGGTTCTTTTTAATTCCAGGCAGTCTCCCCTCTTCCAGATCCTGCCCTTTTATTCTTCCTCTCTCCTTTCCTGTTTTCAAAAGCTTTTAATTATCCAGAAATCTTTATTATCCCTTTGACTTTTTATTTTCAGCATTAAATGCCTATTAATGTCAAAGTGGATTTTTTTCCAATTTCTTGCTTAAGTCTCTTAGCTGTCAGTATAGGAAAAGGAGGAAAAAAAAACCCCAAATCCTTTCCCTTTTCTCTTTCCTTCGCAGCTTAAAAATCTTCTTAGGAAACAATGTTATTTTTTTTAATAGTTTCAATTCCAGGGTACCTTATTTGTTGCTTTTGCTGTTTGACCTGGTCAACCAAAACTTTCTCTTCTTATCTTCCTCCTGCACATTCTTTTCTGGTCGAGCTCTTCTTTGTGGTGGCCATTTCTGACCACCGCTACAACTGCCTTTGGGAAAGGGAGTAATGGCCAGCAGGGGAGGAGAGATGCAGCTCTCCTCAACCCTGCAGGCAGTCTCCCCCTTCTTCACCACCTCTACAGGGTGGCTTAGCCCCGAAACCAGCCGGCTCGGGGCACTCCAGCGACGAGCACGGATCAAAGCCTCGGAGAAACGATGTTTCGGTCTGTCGCTCAAACCAGAAGTTCCTGATTGCTTCTGCTTCTTGTCCTTGTATTTGCTAACACATTGCAAGAACTACATGGATCATGTTTTATATTATTGTATACAAACAAGTTTCTTCCATAAATGAATCCTGCTGAATTATTTACTTGTATGTTGGTTGGATTGCTGCAAACTCTAACAGAAATATACAGATAAAACATTTTTAAAATAATACAATTGGAAAGAAAAATAAAGTTTAAATATGACTAATAAAACAAAAAGAACAAAAAAAGGACAGATACAAATGAAAAAGGAACAGACCCACAGAATTCAAGAGGGCTTCATTCATCCTTGCCAAATCCCTGTTGAAAAGCCAAGTTTTCAGGACCTTGAAATAACAGTAGGGTGGGATCTATTAAAATCTCAGAGGAAATCTCATTCCAGAGGACAGGCAATGCTACAGAGATGGCATGCTTCCAAGTTCCTGATACATGGCATTGCTAAATCAAAGAAAGCCAGAGTAAGCCAAGCCTGTCAGGTTGAATTGGCCAGG